GATTTTGAGGAGATGAGAATGGAGCTCAGTGCTAGAAGGCACCCCAAAAACAAAGATTTTGAGATGACTATGAAAAAATTCTTTTCCTTCTATGAAACTAAACCTTTGTTTAGGAAGTGTTTGACACTATGAATTCAATATTAAAACTTCATTCAGCTACAGATGATGGCAGATCATTCCAGGTCCTGGAATGGTAGGGTTTGTTGTAAATTGACAACACATTAGCGTCTTTGCTTTATTCAGGTGAACAAGTTTTTCTGGAGTTGTCCTGTTTTTTGTTTTTGTTTTTTGGTGCTGGGCTTGAACTGAGGGCTTTGCACATGCCATCCCACTGAACTGCACCCCCAACCCAGCACTCACTCATAAAAAGATAAAGTCCAAGAACTCAGCTGTGGCTCCTTCGGTCTTTGCTGACTTTGTGACTTTATATACAGCCATAAGCAAATGCTTTATATTCAAAAACTCTTTAGGGTCCATTCCAAATACAGGGAAGTTGGTTTTTTTGTTTTTTTGGTTTTTGTTTTGTTTTGAGGGAGGAGCACGCAAGTCAGATTCTTGCCTTGTAACTCAGGCTTGCCTAAACACTCCTCATGCCTCAGCCTCTCAAGTGCTGGATTATAGGCATGCAACAACACACACAGCCCATTTTTTAATTCTCTTATCCATGCTCTTCTGATCACTTACTAAATTTCACTGATTGTCTATCTACAAATACCTGTCCATTCCCCCTACCATTTCCTCTGGCCATGTCATTACTTCCCACCTTCACTTTCAATAAAAATCTAACTGGAAGGTGTGAATCTAATTAAGATATAGTATAAGCACATACATAAGTGTCACAATGAATCCCCCCTGTACAACTATTATATGCTAGTAGATAAAAACCTTACTGATCTCTGCCTTCAGTTTCTCTCTCTACCAAAACTGTGTATTATGGCTGGTTCTTAACCTTCCTAAAGCATTGACCTAGCCAGTAATGGCTCCCCATTTCCTCCAGAACAAATTCCAGATTCCTTCACATTGAATTCAGTCTGTCACCACTTCTAATAATTTTCAAGCCCTCACCTACACTACCTGCTCCCACTTGATTCTGCTGGACTACTCAACACTTAGATCCCTGCTATCTTTAATGCCCTCTCTCCATCCCACCACACCTGCCCTTCAGAGACCTCTTTTATGCCCCTTTTTTTGGGGGGGAGTATTGGGATTTGAACTCAGGGCCTTGAGCTTGCTAGGCAGGTGCTCTACCACTTGAGTCCCATGCCTCCAGCCCCTTAAGCCTCTCTCTCTCTCTCTCTCTCTCTCTCTCTCTCTCTCTCTGTGGGCAGCGGGTGGGGGGTTGTACTCAGAGCTTTGCACTTGCAAAGCAAGCCTACCACTTAAGCCACACTTCCAGTCTATTTTGCTCTGGTTATTTTGGAGATGGGGTCTGTTGAACTATTTGCCCAGGGTGGCCTTGGACTGTGATCCTCCCAATCTCAGCCTCCCAAATACCCAGGATTACAGTGTGATCCACCAGTGCCACTTTTTCTTTGAAGCCTTTCCCCCTCTGAATGTTCCTTTCTTGTTCACCCTTGTAGCCTGGAATGACTGTCCTTGTGAATGTCCATACATCTTGTTTCTGCCTCTTACTGGTTTCTTATCTCATTGACTGTAGCGCCTTGACATCTTAGTATCTCCTGCAACACCTAATATTAGGTGTCCAGTAGGTGTTTATAAACTAAAAAGATTGTATATGCACTGTGTTCATTTTAGCTAATAGGCTTAAACTCAGTGAAGGTAGGAACTGTGACTGTTTCATTCTCATTCTGTACTTTCAGCCCCTAGCACATGGGAAACATTGAATAAAAATTTGTTAAATGAAGTAAGTTATCAATTATTGGGCTATGAATTTTCTGATGGCATGATAGTTATCTAGAAATATCTTATTTTTTTAAATCTTAATTACATATGTTGATAAACCTATGAAAAATATGTATATCAATAGTCTTACTTTACAGAAAAAGGAATTGTGACTTCAGGTAAAGTATTTATGATCACACAGCCAATGAATGAGTAATAGGACCAAATCTAAAATTGAAGTCTTTAAATAGAAAGTTTAGAGCTTTTTTTCTTTGACCAAAGACTAGTTTTATTCTGTTTGTGTTAGAGGTGGGGGAAGGGGGGGTAAACTGTTACAGTCATGGTATATGAAATAGAATTAGAGCTTTGTCTAAAACTCAGACAAAACATAAAACCTGTTTCTCTTTTGGGGAGGGGGGGTTGTTACTGGAGTTTGAACCCAGGGCCTCATGCTTGCTATGCAAGCACTATAACACTTGAACCACATCCCCAACCCTGTATTTTTTTTCCAATGCTGAGGACCAAACTCAGGGACGTGCACAGGTAAGCAAGCACTCTATGTCCTGAGCTACACCCCCAAAACAACAACTGTTTTTTAAAGAAAATATTGGTCCTGCCTGTGGACACTCCCTTAAGGTGAGATGACTGTCTATTCAGGCACTCTTGCTGCAGCCCTGAGCTGGCTGTTGCAGGATGGGTCTGATTTCAGCTGGCATCATAAAGAGCAGGTCCCCAGGTGTTTGCCAGTCTGTATAATCCAGCATGCAGCACTGCACAGTGTTCACTGAAGGCACAGGAGCTATGCTGTATCCAGGGAGCCTTGGTTGAACCACGTGACTAGTTACTCCTTTCTCTTCAGATTCTCTTGGGTTAAGGCAGATCAGCAAGCAGATTACCTCACCTCCCTCCACTAAATTGCTGTTAGTAGATTGTCACTTGCCCTGTGCCATCGAGCTAGAGATGAAGGGTCATTACTGCAGACAACCCTATCAAACTACTGCTTCTGTTACACGGATATTGTGGGCATCACCATGACACACCATGGCATGTTGTATGACAATTTCTCCAGAAACTGACTTAGTTCGAAGGAGGCTTATACCTCTCCTGAGCAAGTGCTTTCTTTCTACCTTTGGACATTGTGAATGTTTAACTTACCTCCCTCTGGTTAGCTGCCAAAAAGCTCAGAGCCAAATGTGCGGCTTCCCATAACAAATGTCTCTATGCCTCGTTAACTTCGTTCCTGGCTCAATTTTATGTTCTGCTCTAGTTTGTCTTTCTCTTTCTTGCTTGATGTCTTTCTCTCTTTCTGTTCTTTCTTCCTTCTTTCTTTCCTCTCCCCTTTCTTTCTTTGCTTCCCCATGGTGGTAGGGATTGAACTCAGGCCTTTGCATTTGCTAGGCAAGTGCTCTACCACTGAACTGCGCTCTCAACCCCTAGATATTATTTTTTCTTAAGAAAATCTTAATTCATGTCATCTTATATATAAATATTTGTATACTCTTTCATTAATATATAATACCTTTCTGAAGTAGTTCAGATTATGATATATTGTGTGTACACAAAGCCATCTTGGATAATTCTTAGTTCATTTACTTTAGTTTTTTCTTAAAAGGTATACTTATTTTTTGTATACATTTTGCAGGGTTTTGATTTGATGGAAATGGTGATGTCACAAAGTTGTATTATTTTAATTGTATAATCAAATGATAAAATAGCTGATCTAGTGACCAGATTTTATTAATGTCATACTTCTAACCCTATCTTTTGTAGCATTATAATTTTTCTTACAGTATGCTTTGTTTTATAGTCTCAATCTGCATGAGACAGTTTTTGCTGTGTGATTCTTAGAAATATTGTGCTGCCAGGTCAGTGCATAGCAGTTAACTCTGTTGAGTGTACAGGTTCAACTGCACATCATCCATACCTGTCAGGCTTCTTGTCTTTGTTAGCACCCTGTCTTGGGTGGTCACAAGCATATTAACCCCACCAAACTGCTTGTCTTGCTTCTGCTGTAAATAGTCATTCTGTTAATGGAACAAGTTAATGTAAATGGATATTTGTTTCTGAACTTATTTGTTTTGATTGGTTTAGAGTTCTAGTAGATTTTCTGATTATCTTACTAATATAATCTACTTGATAACATAAATATTATTTACACAACTTTGTTGTAGTACTGGGAATCAAACTTTATACAACTTTTTAAACTCTTTTAAGTACCTTCAGGTAAAACTTCTGGCCTTCCCACAAATCTCTGCGGTATGTAAGGCAAGCAAATGACAAGAACAAGAGCACGTTATTGAACTGACTGCTCAAAATGACACCAACAAATAAGTAATAAAACCAGGGCTCAACCCAGTATTCCTGGTTCCTATGCCATACCATCTTTTAAAAGTCAAAGGAGGGCTGGGGGCATGGCTTAAGTGATGGAGCACTTGCCTAGCAAGCCAGAGATCCTGAGTTCAAACCCCAGCACCACCAAAAAAAAGGTCAAAAGAATACCTAAGTTACATTGTAATATAAGCATTAATCGTTATCCCACCCTTGAGGTTAAAGATGGGCAATGAGGAAAAATAAGTTACATCATTCGTGTGCATAGCTGCAGAATCAAACATGAATTTCACTTGCGATACTCTCCTGATTTTCTGTTCTCAGAAGTACACCACTTTTAGCTACTACTCTAATCACTCACTTTCCATTAGGGAAAAAGAAAGCAATATTTTATCTTATCTCTTGAAAGTTAATGTTGAAATGGAAACTATTTCCCTTAGTAATTTGTAACTTTTTCTTCAGACCCTTTGAATTCATCTTTAATATAAAAACAGTTTGCTTTTATTATCATACGTACTTATTAAAGAGCTAAAATATGTTTACTGCTATAGTGCCTGGTAGGACATCAGCTATAGTTTTAAATAATCTCTGCATTAAATAGCATATTCAAATTTCACACTTACCGTCTGCATGGAAAATTTCCAGTTTTTATTCTAATTGTTCACATGCAATACATAACTGTAGTTTCTTGAGTATTTTCCTCTTAGCCAGCATTGTTGCCAAACACTTTACAATTATATTTCATCTTCACTAACACTGTATAAGAGTAGCTATGGTTCTACAGATGGTATCATATTGAAGAGTAAATATTGTCTTCTGCCTCTCCTCAGCTTCTGGAATTTCTGAGCAGCCCTACTCAGTGCAAGATGGACCCTGTAGTCTTGAGTTATATGGACAGTCTGCTGCGCCAGTCAGATGTCTCACTGTTGGATCCTCCAAGCTGGCTCAATGACCATATTATTGGGTTTGCCTTTGAGTACTTTGCCAATAGTCAATTTCATGACTGCTCAGACCATGTCTGCTTCATCAGCCCTGAAGTCACCCAGTTCATCAAGTGCACTAGCAACCCCACAGAGATCGCCATGTTTCTCAAACCCCTGGACCTTCCAAATAAGAGAGTTCTATTTTTAGCCATCAACGATAATTCCAATCATGCAGCTGGGGGAACCCACTGGAGTTTGTTGGTTTATCTCCAAGATAAAAATAGTTTTCTTCATTATGATTCCCAGAGCAGAAGCAACTCAATCCATGCAAAGCAGGTAGCAGAGAAACTAGAGGCTTTCTTAGGAAAGAAAGGAGATACACTGGCATTTGTGGAAGAGAAAGCTCCTGCCCAACAGAACAGCTATGACTGTGGAATGTATGTGATATGTAATGCTGAGGCCTTGTGCCAGACCTTCTTTAGGCAACAGCCAGACTCACTGCAGCTACTCACCCCCACATACATTACAAAGAAGAGGGGTGAATGGAGGGATCTTATTGTCAGGCTTGCTAAAAATTACTGAAGAATATCTGCAACTTTCCAAGTCTCCTCTGCGGGGGCCTTGTCCTTTTTATTGTGCCTGAAGGAACATGCCTAGTAGTTGGAACCTTAGTATTCTTACTCTTTTTTTAATGTCATCTTTTCTGTTAGCTAACAAAAAGTTTCTCTTTAACCCCAACTTGAGAACAGTATGTTCTGTGAAAATGTCTTGAAGTTACGCACCAAACCTTAAAACAAACCTAACAATATTACACACGAGTTTTAAATAAAACTCTTCTTTTCTTACTGGTATAAAATTTATTCCCTTTTGGTCTCCCTTATCCACATTGACTTATTCCAAAGGAAAACCAGCAATATATAAATCTAACATGAAATCTAGAGGAATGCAAGAAGAAAATTATAGAAGAACCAAGAACTTGCTGTATGGCCTACATAATTAAAAGAGGTCAACTGGCTGAAATTGATTTAAGACCTAAATATTTTGAGAATTGACTATTGTGTGATGTTCATCACGCAAAGGCTTTCCTAGCTATCAGCATACTCTTGATAAAGATGCTAGCCAATCTTGGTCTGATTCCTGGACTGTTTTAAGAAAGGGGAGATCTTGAGTAACTCCGTTAAATATAGGCTGTGATGGACTAGTGAGTGGGGCCAGCTGCTACTCAGGTGAATGGCAGCTTTTCTTTGTCCTATTAATCAGGCACTCTCTCATATCCTCAATTCTTAGGCTCTAAAACTCACTGTTGCTCAACTCCCAAGCTTAGCTCTTGCTTCAGAAAAGCATCGCTGCTTTTTGATAGCTAAGTTTTTACTCTCCTAAATCTGCCAGAATTTTTTTCAGCTATGTCTTGATTTTGAGACTATTACTGTGTCTGAAGCTCAGGGGTGGTGTTTTAAATATAAGGAAGAAAAGTGACCTTTCACTTAATTCAAAATGCAGACAATGTAATTTTAAAATGTGGAACCAAGAAAGAAAAATTATAACCCCCAAAACCACCCATGAGGTTTTTTTCAGTTGTTTCAAGTAACCACCAATCAAATGATAAGTTGGGTACACACATTCTAATGAGAATTAGACTGCAGTGCATATGAGACTTGAAGACCAAGGAGTCACTTAACTATCAAGCTTACTTCAGCCTCCTCCCCATCCTAACCTGCCCCCAGGCCCCATGGCCCAACATAACCTCACCACTCAGTAACCACAGCTGCAGGAACTCAGTTCCTTTTAGCCAGGAAGGGACAAACGCAGTCAGTGTAAAAAAAAAAATCAGGTTGCATAGCAGGCCCAAGTGAATAAGAGTTGAAACTAAAAGTCAGAAGGCTACAAAACAATTTCCATTTCAAGTCAGTGTGTTTTGGGTAAAAAGGAGACTTACTGAAAGAGGAGCAGGAAGAAGATTAGGAACTTGCAGTCAGCCATAGAGGTGAAATGAGGGAGAGGCAGAAGAGGAATGGCACAGGTTGCTGACAGGCCACAAGTGTAGGTGAGAAAACAATATTCTTTCAATGACTGTTAACTTAGGCAGCTAATGTAGCCTATGAAGGATTCAGATCCTCCCTGGGCAAGTTGTCATCTTTCTGATAATGCAAAGTATGTGCTTAAATGTCAGATACTCTCCCATTTGAGAGTTAATGTGTATGAGAGCATTCCTTCCTAATTCCCTAAGATTTGTCTCAGAAATAGGTTTTTGATTAAACTAATAAGTTTTTTTGAAAATAAGATGAAATCTTAGGTCTCCCTTCTCCAAATACATAGCATGACTAGACTAAGCCACAGTGTAGCCTCCTGTAAAATGTTGGGTATGTCATTTGTAGGTGTTGGCATTATAAATGATGGGAGAATTTGACTTGACTTGCATAACTTACCCACTAGCTTGACCATATATCATAATGTTACATGATACAAAATAGGAAAAAGATCTTTTCTGGTATTGTGTTCCCTTCTCTCCTAGAGTTAAAATGATCCACGATGAGCTGGGTGTGGTGGTACACACCTGTAATCTCAGCACTTGGGAGGCTGAGGCAAAAGGATCACAAGTCCAAGGCCAGACTGGGCTAGATAGCTAAATCATGTCTCAAGAAAAGTCCACTATGTAAAACTCAACTTCAAAATACTCGAAAGCAGATTGTTCAAAATTGGGTTAAACAGTTGTTAAACTGTCTTGCTTTCAGACATCCTATGGTGTTGCCCCATGAGTATAATCATATTTGTCCAAGCTAGGTCTTAGTGCAGAATTGAGAAAGGTTGCTATATGTAAACCCAACCATAGATGGTGGTAAATGGATACAGATGGGTTTTCTATTGTCTAGACAACAAATATTCTGCCTTTTGGCTAGGTTTTTTTTTTTTTTTAATTAGCATGTATCTGTTGAAGGACATAAATCCTGGTCCTAACTAGGTTGGAATAATTTAAAAATTATAAGTAGATTATATTTCTGATATATTCCTTATTATTATTTTTACTATACTATATGTTTTTTTCTTTGAGACAGGATTTTGCTGGTCAACCCAGACTGGCCTCAGACTCACAGTCCTCTGCCTCAGCCTCCCAAGTGCTGTATCACAGGGGTTATACTATAATTCTTACTATACCCATGTTGACTGTGCGTTTTAATAATAGTCATTCCACTGAAATGGCAGAATAGAATTTCTCGGTCACAGGGCTATTTACTTATACTGAAAGTGTGGTTTTTTTCAAACTTAAAATAGAAAAGGAGAAAATACAGAAATTTACATGCCGTAGCATAAGACCAATAATAGTTTTAATCAATTTGAAGCTCTGTCAGTTATAAACTTAAAACCTCAGGAAAGTTTGAGATTCAGAGCCTTGTCTACAAAATGCAGATAGTCTGTTTAGGCAGAGACTGTAAGGATTAACTATCATGTGTAAAGAATATAACAGACACTGAAATAAACATTAGTTCTCTCTGTCCTACTATCCAATTCTACTTTTAAGGCTAACAGCTAGTTTGAAAACTTAGTTTTATATTTCCACACAGCTAAACAGCTGTGTAAAAAATGATATGATAAATACTGTTAGGTACAAATGAGAAACTTGTTCAAGGTTGGTAAACAACAACTAACCTTCATTTATATTTTTTTAATTTATTTATTATCCATATATATAATGTGTGAGTTAGTCTATGCATGTACACATATAAATACATCCATATATATATATAGGGAGAGTACCTTGTACATTTTAAATATTTTTATATATAAAATCTCATTTAATTCTCATGATCTTCCAAGTATTTTTTTGCATGGTGTGGGGGATCAAACCTAGGGCCTTGCACATCTTCCAGGTGTTCTTATTCTCATTTTATAAATAAGAAATAAACTCAGAGAAACTCAGTCACATGGCCTTCTTCTCCTCTCATTCTTTCCACATCTTCCATTTCTTTGTCCTTCCAAACAAGGATAGCAAGAACTTGCTTGAACATTTTTAATGTAATCTTGCTTCACTTTCAAAATTTTATATATTCTGCTGGTATTTTCCAGAAACCAATAATGAGAAGTTATCATCTCAACTGCTAAGGCAGCAGGACCTATATAGTAACTGGCTTTGTTTTATACATTAGGTCATATTTGGATCAGGTTCTTATTATCGACCTACTGATCTGAGGTATTTTAAAAGTCCTGCATTGTATTTCCTGTATTAAATCACCTTTTATATCCTATGTATATGGAAGATGGGAAATAAAAGCAACAGACTGGAGAAGCTATTAAAAAAAAAAGGGAAGCTTTAGGAATTGTGTCCAAAAACTGGACTAAGCAAAGATGAAGTGCTCTGCACAAAAGTGGAAAAATTAGTCACTAAGTTCCAAGATGAGGCTGAAATTCCACTAAGGAAAAATGAAGTGTTAAATGCACTTAAATGAAATGTTCCTGTGTAGGGAAAAACTAACATGGAGCATGTGAAGGAAGTGGTAAGTGTCTTCAATGCCTGCAGTAGGGAAAAGTTAACATGACTCTGGAAAAAATTACTCTTAAGTCCTGCAACTTATGTTAAAAGACAGGGCAGCTTCCTGGGTCTTTTCTCTCTATGTACTGAAACCAAGCAGCCTATTGATGAAACCCCTGTCCTCACGACGCAAACTCACAGAAGGTTTCAGCACCAGACACACCTTCCCTAAACTTTCCGCAGCTGCACCCTCGGTCTTCATCCTCAAACCTGCAAAGCCCTCACCTCCACCCTTGTTTTCCTACTTCAAGGAGAAATTAACTCCTTGACACCAAATCTACAAACCTACCTGCATCTATACCCATCTTTTTTTCTCTTGCTGTACTGGGGCTTGAACTGAGGGCCTCCACACTTACTAGGCAGGTGCTCGACCACTTGAGCCCCTCCATCAGCCTGTATCCATCTTTGAGCCTCCACCCCTCTTTCACTGATTCTCAGAGCTAAAGCTAATCCCTTCATCTATGCATAGGAATCTCAGGCAAGCAGTTCCTTCACACACATCATCAACCTCCACTGGCTCTTTCCACAAACACGTAAATGTGTGAAATCTTCCCCATCTTTCAAAATGAATAAAAGCATGACCCCATGTCTTCTACATAGTGACCTTTCCTTCCTCCTTATGGCCAGATCTGAAGTGTAATAGTCAGGGTTACAGTTCTCCACCTCCCTCCTAATTCCCAACACTTTAATCTGGAGTCCACCAAAAATCCTCAGTAAGAGGATTTTTTTTTTTAGTTCTAATTTTATTGGCTTCTTAACAACATTAAACCCCTCTTTTCGAAAAAAAAAAAAACCTGATGTGAAACCTAAATTTCCTCTTCTCTAATCACTCTCTTTATTTCCCAATTTCTTCTCTACCCTGTAGATTCTTCTAGATTTTGTTTTCCCATTCACCACCAAGGCCAGTGATAGATTTAGGCATATCAAACCTATCCTTCTCTCCTAAGTTTCAACCTGTACATACATTCACCTGCCTGCTGGACATCTTCACCTGGGTACTTCATAGAACCCTCAAATGCAACAAATTCCAAAGCTCAACTCTTCTTCCTCTATTGAACCTGCCCCATCGGTTTTCCCTTCTCAGGACATGGTACCGCTGTCCCACCCAATTCTAGACAGAAATCTAAGGATCATCCTTGACTTTTTCTCTCACAGACTTTACATCTTATCAACCTCCTAGTCCTGTTGGTTCTACATATGAAGTGTCCTTTATGTCTCCCTCCCTCAGTCTTGCTCTCCAGTG